GATGTATGGTCGAGGATCCCTTGAGCCTAAATGCAATACTAACAATGGCTTTAGATGGAGAACCAGATCGTCGTGAACGACTACCGCCAGATGGACAAGATCCTCAAGGAAGAGCGCCAATACCTCCTTAACATGGTCAAGAAGATCCAGAAGACCAAGTGCAATGTCCTTCTGATCCAGAAGTCTATCCTCCGTGATGCCGTCAACGACCTTTCCCTTCACTTCCTTTCTCGCCTTAAGATTTTGGCCGTCAAGGATATCGAGCGTGATGAGGTTGAGTTCCTCTGCAAGAGTCTGGGCTGCAAGCCTGTTGCCAACATCGACTCTTTCACTGAGGACAAGCTGGGTACTGCCGACCTGGTTGAGGAAGTGCAGCAGTCTGGTGCTCGCTATGTGAAGGTCACCGGTATCAAGACCCCTGCCGCTGCCGCCAACCAGACCGTTTCGATCGTCGCCCGTGGCGCCAACAACCTCATTCTGGACGAGGCAGAGCGTTCCCTTCACGATGCTCTTTGTGTCATCCGTTGTCTGGTGAAGAAGCGCGCCCTCATCGCTGGTGGTGGTGCCCCTGAAATTGAGATCGCCCACGCCCTTGCCATGCGTGCTCGTCAGCTGACCGGCACGGAGGCTATCTGCTGGAAGGCATTCGCTGATGCCATGGAAGTCATTCCCACCACGCTGGCAGAGAATGCCGGTCTGAACTCGATCAAGGTTGTCACTGAGCTGCGCCACCGCCATGCCCAGGGCCAGCACAACGCAGGAGTCAGCATTCGCAGTGGTGGCGTGAAGGACGACATCACTGAGGAGAACATCCTGCAGCCGCTCCTGGTGAGTACCAGCGCGATCGAGCTGGCTGCTGAGACGGTGAAGATGATTATGAGAATTGATGACATTGCTTTGTCGCGGTGAGCGATGGCGCGGAGTGAATTGGAAAAGTAAGCCAGGTGGTGTACTATGACGAGTAATTTATCAATCATACCATGTTCAAAAGATAGATCGTTGGTGTCTAATTGCACATAATCATCGCCATGCAATCTCTTCGTATTCAGCTACCGTAGTGTTTGCTATGAAATTAATGTTGACGTTGTGTCCCATTCATATCCATGACTCTTCACTCTGGCTGTATGCAGTGCCGATATCACACTTAGGGAAAGACAGGGCGTTACTGCAGCCGCCACCCGATTAACATCGGAATTTACCAGTTTTCTTCGTTAAATCGCCGGAAGTTACAGATGATTCTATTCAATTGCATGATTAGCCAGCAATCATCTGTGTAGAAAACTGGCTATAAAGGTAGGCTCCGTCTCCCTCTGTCTTCCCTTCTTCTCCTCCATCTTTCTTCTCTACAGCACTGCCAGTCATGAGCACTAATCCTTTGGGATAGTAAACTTATATTACTGTCTTATATTAACTATTATTCGCAAGTCTCGCAATATCCATCCTATCATCTCTTTCTCCCTGCTACCGTTCCAGTTACCGGTTATCATCACCAGAGATGCATATATACAGAAGATGTATCACTTCCGGGTTTTAGAACCTCTATTTCTCTTTTCTATGACTTCTTTACCCCCAGAATTCTCCGGTAAACTTAGCATGCGCCTGCAACCGGACTAGTTCATTTAAGCAATGTTCAATACGCAGAATCCTGCCCCTTACTCCTGGTGGTCGGCGGGGTCATCATCGTCCATCGGGACCTATATTGAATCTGGGAAGCCAGCGGTAATACGTTTTATGGCTTCTCCAAAACCCTATTGTCGGTGCTCCGACTTTTAAAAGATCTGCTTCCAAGACAAAGACATCTGGAGTCAACACATGATGCCTTCTTCACATATCAGATGCTATGATTCAGAAGTTTTATGATATTCTTATGATGCTCTTTGCGCCATAGAAAGGAAACATAATCCCTGGAAGAAATACAGGCCATTGATATGTTCAGACAATTTCCTCATCGAGCTAAACAGTATCGGCGTTCCGTTTAGAACCATACCGGGTTCGCCAATGCCCGTACCACATCGAAGACGTGAGCGACCTGCCTTAGGTGTTCATAGCAGCACACTCATCATCGAATACTGTATGTTTTCTGCGGTGTCAAGGTTGCTATATGATACAATATTGAGCACAAGTTCTCACCAATGAAGTCGATGCGACGTGCTGTCACCGACCGACTAGGGGCCAAATATAATATTCACCTGGTAGGGTCTGGACTATATGCATCGATTTAGCTGAGAGAAAAGTACAATGCTACACGCAATATGCTTGACGCATCAGCAACTAAATATAATCTTCCTTCTGTTCGTGCGAAGTACGATCGCTCCTGTGGTTGAGAAAGCATCAAGGGCGGAACGGGCCAAGTCCTGGCTTATCCTATATGACCTGCGGTGAGGCTAGCACCAGAGACTGCTGGTCTCGAGGATTAGGGGTTGCTGTTCTATCTTGATTCCTACACCTGTACAGATACCAAAAGGTGGCCAGTGGAGTATCCGCTCAATACACTCCTCCCTCTCAAAGTTTGAGAGGGATGTTCAGGGGAAGCTGCATATGGCTGTGGATTATGCCTCCACGCATGGGGGCTTGATTCAAATGGTGGGTTTCTTAGATGGGCTTGTTTTGGAGTGACAACAATCTAGCCCAAAATACAGGGCCTGCAACTTACAATGATGTTGTCCGCGAGGTCCGCCTGCATTTGGGACAAGAAACTGGTGCAACATCTATACATACATCATGCAGTCTATGCCCCAAGTTCAGCTGTCTCCACTGCAGCAGATGCTCATGATAGGGCCAGGCATACAGTGCTCTTTATCGAGCAAACCATCCGCAGCATACCCGGCGAGCGAGGCAGGAGCACAGGTTATTGCTGCCCTATGCCTGGAGCGACCGATGTTGCTACAAATCAGGCAGAGATCTATCTGAAGAAAGACAAACCTAAGGCGCCAGTGATCTAGCAAGGTGCAAGAAGCGCAAGCGTGCAAAAGAGAGTCAAGCATGGCATCTCCGGGCATACTGCGTTTCTGTTTTTGTGATCCCCACTCTACTGTGTCAGTGTCGGGCGACGAAGTTCAAGTTCTGTGAGCCTGGCTCACTTTGTTCATGGTATACCATGAGAGAAAATGTACCTATGAGAAGATATTGTATTTTGGCTCTACATATCAATGTCGGTCAGCTCCTCTCGATACGGTGGGAGCAAAAACAACCCTGGGATCGATAACTGCTGAATTGACCATACCTCGCCATCAGAAATTACGACGGTGGTTGAGCACGACAGGGTGTGCTAGCAGCGTCTGGCTTGAGTTGATCCACAATCTATTCGACTTCCTTGGTGCTTACTATCTATTCAACAGAGATGACAGCCTATCAGTGAGCCTTCCTACATCTATAACACATGCAGTGTCTGCCATGCTGCTCTCCTTGACTACTTTGTCTTACCTGGCTTGCATGTTGCAACCCGTTTGATGGGTAAGGAGTTGATCCGTCTTAATTACCCGGGCTCAAACGCTGCCTCCGAAGAACATCATTACGTCCGTCGTTGGACGGCGATGATCTTGATATCGTGAACAGTAAACATATGTCGTTTGACAGGCTGTTCACGTTGCTCTAGATGGGTGTCCGCGTCACCTTCTTTCACTGCTTCCTCTTCTTCAGGGACAGGTACAACCGGAGGAGCACTAGGCAGGTGAAATCCGAGCTCGAACAAACTGGGCCACGAGGCAAGAAAGCTCATATGGTACTATGGGCAATGGCCTGGTTTCGGGTGAATATAACACTTAGAAAAGACGGGTGGTAAATTGAACAGCTCTGTCTGTATTCATCCCCTATCAGACGGGGACTCGAGGGGTCGATCTAGATATTCACACTGGAAGATGGAATTTGATCGGAAGATGGCTTTCCAAAAACATACAAAATTGGAACCCATGATTCGAGCAGATGGTGAATGCTGGCTGGGAGTACCCGGTAGGAAGAAGATAAAGACGTATAGCCCATATGAACGCTCTCGATGAATCCCAAGATCTATTAAGCGTGAAATCGAATGATGATTGTTCAGTCCCCGAAAACCAAACGGAAAGATTCACAACCTCGAAAGAAGATCATGGAGACAAAGGGCCCACGGCAGCGCAAACAGCGCTGGGAATTCCAGAGATAGTGGAGAAGATCCTGTCACACTGGCCTTTGTCGGCGTGGCAATTCATCATGCGGGACGGCAATCTGCTCTACATTCACAGGATTCAGTGTTGCCTTGGTACCTATAGGAAGGATTCACTACTTTCGTATTGTTGGGCAATCTACTCAAAGCAAAGCTGGTGTCAGGTTTTCCGCCCAACAAACCTATGAAGACCTGAGGGACTCGGAAACGCCGCCACTCTACACCCCAAGGCGCATGCAATGCCAAATTCTAAATTCCAAATGGGAGCTTGATCATGCGCTGTTTCTCTCCTTCACGGCGATAGACTTGAGGCCGAAAGCATCTTCACCCTCGCTGCATTATGGCTTTGTCGAGATTCACACAACAGCAGGACTATGAAAGAAATGCAATTCCAGTGCTCAGAAATTAACACTAGGAATTATTCACTAAGGATACTGTCGCTGCCGCACTGCCGATATTCACATCCTGGGTGAATCTCTCATGACAAATTGTGGCCGCACAAGAAAAAACTCAGCTATATATAAAGGCGAGAAAGCATTTTCAATTCTCTCCTCTTTTCGTTCCTTTCCTCACTCCATTCCTCTCCTCTCAACCCGCTCTACATCGCGATTCTTCCAACACTCAGTGAGGTTGGCTTTTTATATTTATTGCTTCCTTGAAGAAACAATCTTGTGGTGAAGAAGATAAGGCACTACGAGCTACCTATACTCAGCTTTCAGAGTTCATGGCTCTCCTCGGTGGCCTTCAGGCCTCGTGAAGTGTATGACCTACTCATGACAACCCGTTGGATGGTATGTTTGCTGACCATTGAAGGGATTTTACATCAACAGAGAGGATGAGGAGGTTGATATCTTCACAGATAATGAAGACCGCAAACTCCAGTGTTTCACAGCACACAGAGTTGGTAGGTGTCTACCCTTGCTCCTTTCCTATCACAGGGCGATGGCGTTTATCTGTGTGGTATCGTTGTTGAACTGACTGAGCAGTTTTACTACGCGCTAGACCAACTGACAGCATCTTCTAAAAGAAACCTGGAAGAGATGATTTCCAGGGAATCCCGTTCCCTGGTCCTGTACTTCATCTTGACGCAGTCAGCTCTCTCCATCACGGTCGCTCCTCTGGCAATCGACACGAACCACAACCTCAGCGATCCTGGCGTGGACATGATCAATGCCAAATAGGTCAGTCCCTTCAGAGTGGTGCCGCTGTGCCTCCTGACTATTGACTAATACTCACACCTTTTAAAGTGAAACCTCATCGACGTTCCTCAAAATGGTTGTCCAACTTCTCGAAGACACAGCTAATACTGTTCTACAATTGGAGAAGAGTTCCTGAAAGAATTCTTTCTAGACTATATACTACTAGGAGTAAAAATCTCTCCTGGGCGGATCACTGGTCCCCAGAACATCAAGAGAAAGAAGCGCAGTGCTTCTCTAAGCATCATCCAGCTTTCTCGTTGTCTCCTTCTTTGCACGGGGCCTGCCTTCCCAGCAATTGATAAGGAGGGTGCTAGCAGCACATCTTGAAGCACATAGCAATCAAAGCTTACTTCACAACTAATATAACAAAACTTGAATCTGCTAAATTAGCAGGCGACACCAAGTTCAGCGATCTATACTCCGACCTTGTTCAAACGGCACCAAGAGACGTTACTGGTTGACTGGCTATCTCAGACAGAGGTTCCAGTAGCTACCAGTCCTCCAACCGATACGACTGCTTGCTAGCATCAACATCGGCAACCTCGACTTCCACGTGGCAGTCTTAAGCCACAATCACAACCAGCTCACCCTCTTATCCACCCACCTCGCCTTCTCCAGGACACTCGATCTCATACCCTCTTATATTCGACATCAATCCAATATCATACCCAGCCGTCATGGGCTACCCTTCAATGTGAAGTTGAGTCGGCATGTAGTAGCAACCAGAAACCTCCAGTGAGTATGGTTTTCTTTACGCATTCCTATCCATGGTTTCTTTCTACTGATTAAAAAGGCTCATCACAGGACGCTCGCAACCAAAATTCTTCCTCGGTCTCCTAGGATGATATTTAACGAAAAAAAAGAAACAAACACAGGATTACAACAAAAGAAAAAGATTAAAATTTCACGAAGTCAAAGCGAAAGGAAAAGGGAAGAAAAGAAAACATACACACACAGAGGAGAAAAATTCCCCTTAAAAATAAATTATAAAAAGAAAAGAAGAAAAGAAAAGGAAAGGAAAAAAGAAAAGGGCATATGGCAAATGGCAAATTGCAGAGGGCAAGCATCAGAAAACAACAAATCAATCTCCACAGATCCCAATACCCCTGCTCTCGACAGAAGAACATCGTGAACGTTCCGGACTTCGGCCTCTCAACTTGGACATCTTTCACAACAATTGATACAAGCAACGAACAAACGGACGGGCCTCCCTGGTTCCTCCAGACTGAGTGGAAAGCAGCAGCAGGTTCCATCGATCCGACTCCTGGCCTTCTCTCGCCTCTGTCATCTACAGACTGCGTTAGACGGACGGGACGGCGTGAGTTCCTCAG